TGTTAAATAGAAACTGCTGCACATATTCTCTTGTATTTTAGCTAGTAACGCCAAGTCCGAAAAAAGTTAACGTAGTTAATTCGGTGCACTTGTTGTGTTGACGTTTTTTTCATGAATGCATATACTCGGATGTAATCAAACATATACTGTGTGAATAAATATGTATTGAATGGTTTGTGTATTACCCAAAAGACACGTAAATTCGCACCCTCCGAAAAACTGCTTCTTATATCCAAATATTATCGTATCAATTGGTATGCGCCTGAAGCGGGCATCTGAACATACAGAATACATACACAGTCAAACTTTACACCTGACAGTTTTTAAAAAGCAATTGACAGTCGATAACTAAAAAAGCACAAGTGAAATTTAGCTTTGAAGAATAATCTGAGCAAATATTCTGATATGAAGCGCTGAAGCTTCATGACGATTACAACAACACCGCCTGTTAGGAAGCATTATATATCGTGGCGAAGAAAATTTTATAGTTGGTCGTGAGCGACCTATGTAAATCGCATATGAAAATATATTCGGATAGGTTTCTGGCTAGTACATATATAGAGGCTAACGTGCTATACAGCAAGTCAGAGTCAAAAATTGAAGCGAGTTCTATAGAAAGCCTGTATAACATAATAGCAGTTGCTACATTCTACTCAAGGAAACGAAAACTGTTTGTCTCACGTGTTGATTGCGCTCTTGTACAGCTTTCTCAATACGAAAACATGGTTTGTCTAACTGCTAAAATGTCAGACAAATAAAAAATGCGAAGGCAATGGCAAAGCTCTCAAAAATAGGACATTCAGATAAGCAAATATCTGTTTAAAGTCGTTTTTTTTTTCTCAAAGGGGTCTTGTTTATATGCATGTTTGGAGTCTAAAAGGTTTAATTTTTATCGTTCTTACTTCTACAGTCATCTATGATACTGTGTTTAAATCATTTAATCAAACGACTAGTCAAGGAGTCTCCAGGTATGCAGAGCTTCCCTGAGATGAACACCGTAGCAAAGAGTTGAAAACGTTTTAGAAAGGGTGCGTTAGAGCTTCAGATAAGAATAACTAGCCCAACAGGCAATAATTCAGTCTTAGAACTCCATACATTGGGTGTCCACGTGCTCTTGTACAAAATAAGCAATTTGCTCAGAGGAACTGTTATTTTATCATTTAGTACCGAGTCTAATCATTTTATTCATGCGAAAATTCTATATTAACGTAAATTGGTAAAATACCAAGAAGAAAAAAGCAAGTCGTATAAGTTGAAAACGTTCTGATTTGAATCCTATCTAAGCAATATCATCATTTTATAAAAGACCTGACCGAAATCGTGATCTACTGGTTTCTAAATCCATCTCTAGAAAAAAATAAGCACATTTGGGCTGTGCACAATTTGGATTATGAGATACGAGCAAATGTATTTTGGTGAGAAAACTGTGGAGAGGAGTTTTAGAGGCTATAAAGTCGCTCACGATACCTCCGGTCTCATCTTGCCTTATGAAGCATTTATGGTGCGAAAAGTAGTCGAAATTTTCGTCGAAGTGGTACCTAATTGGCGAAAAGACTACAAGCTATGTTCACGTTTCACAACTCGGCTCGCTTAACTTTTTCGGCGTTTGTGGTGTCACATGCAGTCGCTTATTATCTTTAAAAAAATTATTCCTTTGTTCGCCAATATAGAACGCAAACTCTGCGGTTTCTATTTCAACTGAGAAATCACTAAGCTGCACTATAATCTTTTTTGCAAGTACTTTCGACTTTTGAAAATGCCGCGATGCTTAACCGCTCTTAAGTTATTGACACAACTGACGTTGGCTATCATACTGATTCTATTTCGCTTTGTATGTCATAATACGACCATACAATAAATCTTTCTGCTCGCGCAGAAATACTGGCACTTCTTGGACGCGGCTTTTTTGAAGACCGTTTATTTCGTATACATCTATTTGTCAAGCTTCTTCGACTTCCAGCTATATCTCATTCTTGGAAATAGCTAAGATGCTTACACAATGTCTTCATGAAGGTTTCAGAAATTTAGTGCGCGTATTCAAGTAAAATTGTCATTTTATTATCGTCAACAACAAAGATCTTCCCTCATATAACTGATCCTCAAGGTTATACTTGTAACGACGAAAATTTGGAAGCATGTGTCGCATTTCGCGTTTGCTCAGCACTTCCTTAGACCTTCATTAGTATTTCAGCTGAACACTACCTTAGATCCTCATTAGTATCTGCATTTAATGTCGAGCTCCATTTCACAAAAGGAGATTCGTCAGAGATAGCTGCTTGACTTCTGAAATTCTATCTTTGAAAGTTACTAAAAGTAAATCTTATGTTGTTATTCATTACGGTAATTTTATTGTTATCATCACGCAGTGAAAGTTGTGAAATAAGCTGACAAGCAGCAAGATAACATTCAAAAAATCATACACGATATGGGGATTAGTCTCGAAAGAAGACCACATCCCAAACTGTGCGCGTAGCGAGAACAAGGCTGCGTTTATGCATCTGTTTCGTTTTAAAAGAAGTAAGCAACAACAATAAAGCATGCTTGAAAAAGGGCCTGTCTAGAAAATTCGTCAGCAGCGATCTCGCTTGGTCATAGTCGCGCCTACACTTTGGCAAATGCAAATAGGTACTATCATAATCCACGTTTTTTGACAACATGATACAAGCTTATCACTGGACAGTTATTATCTGGAGTTAAATGAGAACGCGAGCTATTAAAGGCTGTATCCAGCAGCGGTTTGCATGTTGAAATATTTTTTCGACTAGTTGTCGCTAGATGCCGAGAAGGTGGTAGCGAGTTAACAGGATGTTCGGTGAAGCATAGAGAGTAGAAAAGGGAGTGAAGCTTCAGTTCAAGTATCAGTGCTTTCAATAGATTGTTCAGCCTACACAAAGTTATACATAAGAAGTTCCTGATATCATTTATCGCCGAAGTATTCGTCTTCCCAGGGCCACGATGATTTCAGTGGAGCGTCACAGCCTTACTTTCCTTGATCTAGTTTTCGTAGTCGCACTGCGTCTAGTCCATTGACTTGGAGCATCCGTCAATTGGAGTAACCTGGCTCTTCCATACCTTTTTATACAAAACAGATATTGACTGAGTGATATACAATTGGTAAAAATTACATCGCATCTCTGAAAATCAATACCAGATTAACTAGTAGATACGAGATAATACAGTCTATGACCTAGAAATGCAGCTTTAGTTGCGCAACATGTGGTCGAGCATTGTTGTGCAAGAGTTCTAGACCTCTACTCTTACACATGTCTCAAGCACAAGTTGCAGTTTACACAAGGCATAATGATTTTCTTGGGAGCACTTTCTTGTATTGATCATCTTTGACCTAAAAATCTCTTTGCAAGATCGAAAACATAGTATGAAATGATTTTTTTGCCACAAACCGAAAATGTCATCAGTACAATCTTTTTGAAAGTATTAGATCTTCTCATAAGCTTTGGCGGTGCTTTTCCCTGCCAGCACCCATATTCAGCAAAACGCATTCTTCATCCTTTTTTTGACAGTTTAGTGAGCATTCCACAGCCTAAATGGCGAGATTTGAACGGTCTGTTAATTTGAAATGGTTTTAATTTATGCTGCAATAGTTGACATAGAATACTACTGCCCACTCAAACATCTTTCGCCAAACAAAGCTTTTCATTCAACCTTTTAATAACTACTCGGTACACAAATATCAACATTTCAAATGACTTGGTTGATTTTTGAGAAGGACTCTTAAGTGCATTGTTACACACATAAGAATATTGAGTTCCGCACTCGGCGCCGTGTCGATCGCGCAACGCAATCACATCTGCGAAGCCCAATATTTTTAGACTGAAACAACACAGTAAAGAGTCCTTCTTGAGAATAAAACATATTATTGATATTGTTGAGATTTCTGCTATCGAAAAGATATTAAAAGTCCAAGAGAAAAGCTGTGTCCAGCGAAAAGTTCCGAAATGTGCAACACAGTATTATTTTTACTGCTACAGCGCGCTAAGAGATTTCTTTCTGAAATGCAGACACACTATTGAAATCCTTGAGATCTGAGCTATCGACCGATTATTGAAAGGCGATGGCTTGATGCTATTGTTATCCATTCACACATCTCTGCAAGGTACGCGCGCCGCATGTTAAATGTAATCTTAATTTTAGAGTCGCAGCGCAACAAATTTTTTTTTGAGGAAAAGCTTTGCTAATCAAGAATTGCTCACGTGCGACTTATATCTAGTTTGCACTGTTACAGCGTAATATAGAGTCATTCTAGTGAGATATATCATCCAAATTTTTGAGATTTAAGCTACCGATTAACTATTGAAATGATTGGAAAGAGCAAAAAATACATCCACAATAAACATTGGTACGCTAAAAGAAATGCTATTGTTTTGGCACTATAGTGATAAACATCAAATTCATTGACAAAAGTAATTAAAATTGCTTGACAACACTATTAAATGTATGCATCATCAGGCTGAAGTCAAAGTCGAATTTTCTTCAGTTCCTTTGATGATGGCCTCTCGATCAACTTCGCGTGGACGTCCGGAGCGCAGCTGGTCATTCGAGTTGGTGTTACCGGCGCGTTTCAGCAAGGAACCGACAAGCTGTTTGCATCCACACAAATCCTGATCTCCTGCACGGTCGGTATTCTCGAAGACGGTCTGTGCATCGCGTCACTTATTCGTATTGATAAAGCACCAAACTGGGATAAAGGCTTCGTTAAGCGGCCATGATGAGGCAAGTGTGAACAAAATTGGTACTGGACGAAAATTTAGAAAATTGTGCACAGAACTGCTCACCACTCAGTTCTCTTCGGTATAAACAAAACATCATAACACTGCGGAAAAGGCAGTAAAATTACTAGAAATCTGGAGTATTACTTATCACAATGACTGTCAGCTCCACTGGGTATACAAAGCGAAATCGCATGTCCGACCAAACATGTTGAAGGTTGGTGCCTGACAGCCATCATAGAGATATTGGAGAATGAGTGGTGGAGCGAATGTACCTCGGTGGTGTAGTGGTAGCACGCGTCTCCGGTATGGATGAAACATGGGTTTGACTCCCGTCTGAGGTCGTGTTTTTGTTCACCACTCAATTCTCTTAAGTCTATATAAAACATCATAACACCACGAAAAAGGCAGTGAAAACACTAGATATCTGTGCACAGAATGCTATTAATTTGTTGCCTGAGAGGTAGGAGAAATGTGTTCAGACTGACGACGCATATTTTTAATAGCTTCGTTGATTAATTACTTCTTAACATATGTGCTGTTTGTTGCTGTAGTGCCAAACTTTATGAGAAGATCTGATACTTAGCAGCTTCACTTTGGAGCAATCACTGAACTGTATGTCACCGATTGCCGCATTGCACTCACTTTCACCAAACGATGAAATGCTGTCAAGTTGTGCATCTTTTTCATTGTGTAAAAGAGGCTAGAACAATCTTCATAACGGCGACTCACTCCTTCTCACAGTTCATGAGAAATGTTGAAAGTTTTTCAGCTTTGCAATGCTTTCAAAACTATCAGTAATAGCAAATTGTGGACTTGGACTTTTCCAGAATCCAACAGACCTTTTTTGAAAATGTAACTCCAATTATCGTCTCCGGGCAGTGATTATCAACTGCCACGATCGCACAGTCTTCTCAGTTATAAAGAATTGTATCGTCACTACATAACTTCAGAAGAACTTTGAAATCGCTGTCCTGGCTTAGGCTTTGATGACATTTAGTCTCGTCAAGGTTTTATTTGCTTCGTGAGGGCATCAAAAAGCTTGAATAGAAGTTTTGTTCAGTTCTTCATTAATACTCGCTGTAGGACTTTGTAGAAATTTCTATTAATATTTCTATATCCAAGCTCACATTCATTAGGCCAAACTGTGCCACTTTACCCAGGATTGATTTTCTATCAACCTCGACACTCACCGGGTGATTCACAATTTCCATGGTGAGCACCGTCTTCTCTGTTTATTAGAAAAAATTGTGAATTAAGCGCTTTTTTCTGTGAGAACGCCAGCCATTCGAGACCATATAGATTTAGTGTGAACTGATTTCCAGTAAAAGCACTCCATGGAAAATCATGAAACTGTAGATAGATCCGAAAACATTAGCGACAGTGTGAAATCTATGCATTCCATTCTGTTTGCAGTGGTTTTTTGTATACACAAAGTTTTTTCTGGGGTTCTTCTAATCACTTGACAACTTAAATCATGCAGATGCTGTAGCCTAGCATCGTCCGTGTGAAGATGTTATCTTGAGTGAGTAGAAAACAGCATGGATGTCTCCGCTTGATCAACTCCTGAGGTACGCACCATGCATTCGCCTTCATCAAGCATCGTCAATGTGACTGAATTCGATTCTAGCCTTCACAAAGATTTGCGGTGGCCTACCAATGTATCGAGTGAGCGCTGCTATTCTCCTAGAACAAGTCTGATAGCAAACCACGCACAATGGAAAAGGTTTGGCAGGTCTTCGGTGCGAATCGAACCATTAACTACATGTGCGTCGCAGAGCACCTTTGACTGCTGCGACACACGCGTCCCATGTGCATACATATATACACATATGTGTGTACAACTCCAATAGCTTACATATAAACATTTAGAAGCTCAAGTACTGGTGGTCGGATACATCCACTTGTTATTGCTTTGGTCACTGCAAGACACGCTTTTCATATTTGTATCAACCTCTTGCCAGGGATAGCTTTCGTGACAACTATGAAGGAATTGTGGAGTGCATAATAATAGTTACAGTTGTGTAGTAGTTCTAGTTTTTCAGGTAAAGATTGATGGTTTTTTACATAATTTCTCATTTTCAAAAAGAGACGATCGGTTTTGAACGCTTGCGCGTGGAGCGGAGAGTGTAGGCAGAGGAGAGCCACAGACATTCGACCAACGTTTAGTGACATTCAGAAGACTAGAATTTCTGATGTAGAGCTCACACGAAAAAGTTCGACGAGTTTTGATTTTGTTGAAAGGAAATTCGAGGAAACGAACTGATAACAAGATGTGCTGACAGTAGTGCAATGTAATTAATGATCACATGTTCGGTAAGTACTTTGCTACACTCACGAAGTTACAGAGGGTTGTTACGAAAGCTTTTTGTTATGAGAACTTCTTAGCTCTTTCACATTCTTCAGTGGCTCAATGATGCGAGTGCTTCTTAACCTTTCAGGACCTCGTGTCCTATATAAAAACACACTGGCTGCGCGCAGCGTCTCGGCTCACTGGATTTATTCTAATGGATGCGCAGCCCGATACAAATTTGGCTATATTTAATGACAGTTGCTTTGATTATTCTTACTCTATACTGGTTTAAATATTCTTAGAATATCCATTATTAGCAGTTCTACTTACTCTACATACACTTTATACTTGATAAAAGACTCAAGGCTCCGACCTGCGTTGATTAATCTATGATGAATACACTCGATCCATCTAAAATCGTTGAGGGTGACTGAATGTATATTTAGCTCTTAAAACGACTCGCGGTGACTTACCGGTTTATCCAGTGAGTGCTGCTATCCTCCCATACAAGTGTGGTACCAATTCACCTACTCCGGAGTGATCGAAGACCAAGCCTTAAGTGCCGGAATGAGTCATCTGTCACGTATGTGTCTCGGAGCACCTCTAACACTGCGCCACGTTTATATTTACTGACTGCATACAGTTTATAACATCACAACAATGTGCACAAAGACTTCTAAAGAAGTGTTCATTTGTACACTTGCGTGGTAAAATGTAAATTTCATTCCAGACGCAGAATCACATTCAATAAGGGCTCGATTATGCTATTGTACATTAGGTAGTATTGGCATTCCATCAACTAAGGGTAGCTTTCCAAGCCTCTTCAGCGATATAATATCCTTACTGGTCATAAAATACCTTTCTTGAACCTTACTTGAATACTGAAATGGCCCATCTTTACTGGTAGTGCAAGCCTCACTACAGTTTCCAATCGCTCCTCGCTTATGCAATTGTTGTCATTGCGGTGGTCTGTTTCGAACATAGCGTTACAAGCAAGGCTGACTCCGTGATTCTAAGCTCTCTACCATCTGCGGACGCAGATGGTTGACGTTAACCACAAACACGTCCGCCCATCGTTTAGGAGGTCTTCCAAGAGGACGCTTGCATTCTATTAGGTCCACTCCACTGTTCTTTTCGGTGATCTGCCATCTCTACTTTTTATTATGTGATCGGTTTATCTGTAATTCGCTATTGATCTACATGTTTGTGGATCACGAAGATAAAACGGTTTTCCAGGACCTGAGCTGCGCAAACCGACTAGACGTTGGGTAGCCAATGAGTTTCAGAAAGCCACGCTCAAGCCCCTGTGAGCGGTGCGCAGATTTCTTGACATGGTTGTAGTATCGGTCCACTCTCTGTTCCATATCAGAGCGCGGAGTGGAGTGTTGGATAGCACGAAATTTGGGATTCTGTACATGTTCTGTGACTTCCTTAAGAGGTACAATTGCGACCCATGCTGCTCTCCTTCTTATTACCTAATTCCTTCTTAATGTTATTCTCGATGTCATTAAACGTTCAAGGTAGACGTACGAAGTGGTCTCCGCAATCGAAGAACCATCCATTGTTCACCTTCGCACCAGGATTCTTCATGAACTGGGTCACATATATGCGAAGTTCAATTTTCTTCTCGCTTCAATGAATTCATTGATCATCATCTTTTCCTTACTGGTACTTTTCGAAAATATGACGATGCCATTCGCAAGACACAAGTTCGGGAAGAATCTTAAATCAGCCGTACGCCAACCCCGTCCCAATCGAGCGATTTCATTCTTCATTGTAATGCAGCAGTGAACAGCTTTGGCTATATAATGCGATGGCAACGAGCGATTTTGCCTTCAAAACCTTTTTCGATGGTTATAGTAAGGGGTAGATGGAAAAGCTGTATTTCTTTGCTGCACCAGTCTGCTTGCGTTCGTATATGGGGCGGGTCTACATCTTGGTGGACGAGCACTGATAAGATTGCATTTGTTTAGGCGCTGTCGAGCGCTTTCTCATAGCCGATAAAAGTTAAAACAAAAGTCATACGATATCCTCGAATACTTTGATGACCCATTGCAAGGTTTGGATGTGGTCCATACAGCAGAGCCCCTTTTAGAATACTGGACTGTTCGACTTGCTGTGCCCATTCAAGATCTTCGATATGCACAAAAAGATGGTCTTTATTAAAATCTAGTAGAGTACACGTAACAGACATATTGGGGGTGGTTACAAAGATCCCTTTTGTGCTCTAAGAAAAGCCACCATCTCTAGATTGACAGTGGTGTTATCAGGCTCTGGCGGTGCTCTTCTCGTCATGCTTTCAAATGCAGCTCGAAATTCAGAAGCTAGAAACCTTCACCAGTGACGATGAATCCACATTTCGCATCAAAATTACAGTATTGTCATTCGAGCGTGGCGCACCGGCCGGTCGAACCGCGCGCTGAGCGAAAAATCAAACGTGGTAAGGAAAGGTTGAAACTTAGGGCTTCATCATCACATTATCAAGTCGATTGTGGTGGAGAGAAACAGTCCACGAATGACAATGTACAGCTCGTGGCTTAGTTCATTTTTGACAGCATGCTATGATGTGACAGATAATCATAAGAATTTTGAGAGAGGAGCATTCAAACCCGATGTATATGGCGTGGACTTCAACTACGAGTACCCTTTCCCGCAGCGCATGGGTTCGCACTGCACCAGCGAGGCCGTTGGAGCTCCTGTCAGCCATATTTACTATATTGGATGCATTGGTATTGGTTACTGCCTGATTTAAATTTGATTCACAGGGTACGATGAGCCTCGACGCTGCAATGAACGCGCACCCTTCCGGAAAGAATGTCGTGGTTCGGGCCCACGCCGCACACATCACATTTTCAGTACTAAACTCATTTAAACATTTCTGTACTTATGATGTACGAAATAGTTGAGCTAAATGGGTACTACAGTTCTAAACAAGATGATTCTTAAATGATTCTACTGGAAAGTGCTTGTTTTTTCAATTGCAGCGGTCAGTATTAGTAGGATGCAAGAAAGTTCAGGGGTACTTGTAAAAAACAAAAAATTTATGCATAA